CTTATAATGGCCTGAAACGTATGCAAAAAAAATTTAAGACGATTTTGAGCAATTTAAAATTTTACGCGCGCATTGACGCGCGCGCCTACGCGTACGCGCATTTTTGCGCGCATTTATTGACCTCATATTGATCCGACGGATATTGATCTTAATCTTGATAAATATGAATGTAAAATTACTTTCCGTTATGAAGATATGATCATAAGTTGATTTTTACAAAATGGCGCCTGGATGACGTCACGATGACTTTGAGTCTTTGAAAAGTCACGCAGTTCTAAGTTAGACTAAGATCTATCATCAGTGAAAGATTCATAACAATGGCTTTATTGAGTCTTGAGATATCCTGCGAACAAATTCGAGGAAGAATAATAAATAAAAAAAAAAATAAATAAAAATCTTGACGAAATCAAAAGGTGATACGTTGACTTCGTTACGTATCACCTAATGATACGTATACTTTGTACGCATCACCTAATGATTCCTTCAAAATTTGCAATTTCAACTTTCGATTGAAAATTTCGATATGATCCCAACATCTGATCGAAAAACAAAGTACACCGTTTTTATAGCCCATGGTCTCAGCTATAACATACCCCAATTTGGGAGAAAACAGAGCACACATAAGATAGATAGTGCTCATAGATGAATGCCATGCAGATTCATGATGTGAACGAAATTCACCTTCCATAGACATAACACGCAAATGACGAAAATTCTGACATGTGGCCTTTAACTGAATTTTGTACTATGATGACCTCATTAAAATGAAACTTAGTGAAAAGCGATCTTGTAGAGAATTGCCTTATCTACAACATATCGACATTTCAAAGAGAATCGATGAATATTGAGAGAAATACACTACATTTTCCATAAATACAATGACGTCATAATATGCAATTTTGTATTTTTGACTTCCAAGGCCATTATGATGACGTTAAGATGTACTTAATGGCCAAATGAGATATGAAATCATACCTCCGACTCATACTCTATCTAAATATGAAAAAAAAAATTGGCAATCCCTATTTATCCCAATGGACTTTTCATAGGCATGTTTTTGCCCATATATGCAATGTATTACAAAAATCGCGCGTACGGACGGTTATCTTGAACGGACGCTCATTCCGTTTTTAATAGTGATAAAGAGCTAAACATGGTATCAAATTTTCCGGAAAAATATGAGGAATATTCGGTCAAAAGCTTTTGCGGAGAAATTATTTTTCGTTCGGCCGTGACGAACGAAAACGTGCAAAAATGCGTGTTTTGCGTGATTTTTTATGAAATGCTTATAATGGCCTGAAACGTATGCAAAAAAAATTTAAGACGATTTTGAGCAATTTAAAATTTTACGCGCGCATTGACGCGCGCGCCTACGCGTACGCGCATTTTTGCGCGCATTTATTGACCTCATATTGATCCGACGGATATTGATCTTAATCTTGATAAATATGAATGTAAAATTACTTTCCGTTATGAAGATATGATCATAAGTTGATTTTTACAAAATGGCGCCTGGATGACGTCACGATGACTTTGAGTCTTTGAAAAGTCACGCAGTTCTAAGTTAGACTAAGATCTATCATCAGTGAAAGATTCATAACAATGGCTTTATTGAGTCTTGAGATATCCTGCGAACAAATTCGAGGAAGAATAATAAATAAAAAAAAAAAAAAATAAAAATCTTGACGAAATCAAAAGGTGATACGTTGACTTCGTTACGTATCACCTAATGATACGTATACTTTGTACGCATCACCTAATGATTCCTTCAAAATTTGCAATTTCAACTTTCGATTGAAAATTTCGATATGATCCCAACATCTGATCGAAAAACAAAGTACACCGTTTTTATAGCCCATGGTCTCAGCTATAACATACCCCAATTTGGGAGAAAACAGAGCACACATAAGATAGATAGTGCTCATAGATGAATGCCATGCAGATTCATGATGTGAACGAAATTCACCTTCCATAGACATAACACGCAAATGACGAAAATTCTGACATGTGGCCTTTAACTGAATTTTGTACTATGATGACCTCATTAAAATGAAACTTAGTGAAAAGCGATCTTGTAGAGAATTGCCTTATCTACAACATATCGACATTTCAAAGAGAATCGATGAATATTGAGAGAAATACACTACATTTTCCATAAATACAATGACGTCATAATATGCAATTTTGTATTTTTGACTTCCAAGGCCATTATGATGACGTTAAGATGTACTTAATGGCCAAATGAGATATGAAATCATACCTCCGACTCATACTCTATCTAAATATGAAAAAAAAAATTGGCAATCCCTATTTATCCCAATGGACTTTTCATAGGCATGTTTTTGCCCATATATGCAATGTATTACAAAAATCGCGCGTACGGACGGTTATCTTGAACGGACGCTCATTCCGTTTTTAATAGTGATAAAGAGCTAAACATGGTATCAAATTTTCCGGAAAAATATGAGGAATATTCGGTCAAAAGCTTTTGCGGAGAAATTATTTTTCGTTCGGCCGTGACGAACGAAAACGTGCAAAAATGCGTGTTTTGCGTGATTTTTTATGAAATGCTTATAATGGCCTGAAACGTATGCAAAAAAAATTTAAGACGATTTTGAGCAATTTAAAATTTTACGCGCGCATTGACGCGCGCGCCTACGCGTACGCGCATTTTTGCGCGCATTTATTGACCTCATATTGATCCGACGGATATTGATCTTAATCTTGATAAATATGAATGTAAAATTACTTTCCGTTATGAAGATATGATCATAAGTTGATTTTTACAAAATGGCGCCTGGATGACGTCACGATGACTTTGAGTCTTTGAAAAGTCACGCAGTTCTAAGTTAGACTAAGATCTATCATCAGTGAAAGATTCATAACAATGGCTTTATTGAGTCTTGAGATATCCTGCGAACAAATTCGAGGAAGAATAATAAATAAAAAAAAAAATAAATAAAAATCTTGACGAAATCAAAAGGTGATACGTTGACTTCGTTACGTATCACCTAATGATACGTATACTTTGTACGCATCACCTAATGATTCCTTCAAAATTTGCAATTTCAACTTTCGATTGAAAATTTCGATATGATCCCAACATCTGATCGAAAAACAAAGTACACCGTTTTTATAGCCCATGGTCTCAGCTATAACATACCCCAATTTGGGAGAAAACAGAGCACACATAAGATAGATAGTGCTCATAGATGAATGCCATGCAGATTCATGATGTGAACGAAATTCACCTTCCATAGACATAACACGCAAATGACGAAAATTCTGACATGTGGCCTTTAACTGAATTTTGTACTATGATGACCTCATTAAAATGAAACTTAGTGAAAAGCGATCTTGTAGAGAATTGCCTTATCTACAACATATCGACATTTCAAAGAGAATCGATGAATATTGAGAGAAATACACTACATTTTCCATAAATACAATGACGTCATAATATGCAATTTTGTATTTTTGACTTCCAAGGCCATTATGATGACGTTAAGATGTACTTAATGGCCAAATGAGATATGAAATCATACCTCCGACTCATACTCTATCTAAATATGAAAAAAAAAATTGGCAATCCCTATTTATCCCAATGGACTTTTCATAGGCATGTTTTTGCCCATATATGCAATGTATTACAAAAATCGCGCGTACGGACGGTTATCTTGAACGGACGCTCATTCCGTTTTTAATAGTGATAAAGAGCTAAACATGGTATCAAATTTTCCGGAAAAATATGAGGAATATTCGGTCAAAAGCTTTTGCGGAGAAATTATTTTTCGTTCGGCCGTGACGAACGAAAACGTGCAAAAATGCGTGTTTTGCGTGATTTTTTATGAAATGCTTATAATGGCCTGAAACGTATGCAAAAAAAATTTAAGACGATTTTGAGCAATTTAAAATTTTACGCGCGCATTGACGCGCGCGCCTACGCGTACGCGCATTTTTGCGCGCATTTATTGACCTCATATTGATCCGACGGATATTGATCTTAATCTTGATAAATATGAATGTAAAATTACTTTCCGTTATGAAGATATGATCATAAGTTGATTTTTACAAAATGGCGCCTGGATGACGTCACGATGACTTTGAGTCTTTGAAAAGTCACGCAGTTCTAAGTTAGACTAAGATCTATCATCAGTGAAAGATTCATAACAATGGCTTTATTGAGTCTTGAGATATCCTGCGAACAAATTCGAGGAAGAATAATAAATAAAAAACTAGACTTTAATTCGTCACTTTGACAAATTAGGTGATACGTGCTATTTTTGTATCATAAAAGTGTGCCGATGATGATCTTATGATTATATTCATGAATACGATAATGATGATATTGATGATGATGATTTTTTGGTTTTAAATGACGATGACCATGATTAAAAGTGGTATAGCGCCCCATTCAGGTATTCGATAGAGAATCGTTATATGATTAAACTATTAATTTACTAAACAAGCTCACATTTTAGCCTGATTGCAGAGCCTATAATTCAACTGATATTGCGACGCACTTCATACGCAACATAATGAAAAAGTCTAGACTGGAAGTATCAATCACCTCCCATAGGCATTACACGCATATTAAGCAAAAATCTATTGACGTCATCAAAATGAATAAATATTGGTAATAATCTTGTGAAGAATCGTCTCAGCTACAACCTATCAAAATTTAGAACAAAATTGATAAATATTTGCAGAGATACAATCAGTTTCCGTAAATATGTTGACGTCATAATATGCAAATTCGTATTTGATAATGGTTTATATAAAGAAGAACGCATTATGGTCTATCCATATTCAGGTAGCCTTGATCTTTATGGAACTATGGAAGATAGATTGAGAACAATAACCATTCATTGCCCCTGTTTAATAACCAGTTACACCTTTGACTCAAATTGATTTGTTTTCCTTTTATTATTTGCTCTTTTGAGGATACCGTAACTTGTAGTCGCGAAAGTCTTTAGGCCCAGCGCAGCATGCATGCAATTGGCAACGGCACGCAACAGACGCGTAAGACGCCATTAGAAAATTATCTATGACAGAGCATAGACCTACATTTCATGAGCTGAAGTCACGTCGCTAGACACTAGTACACTGTAAGTTTAACTTTAGTTCTTAACCCTCCTGTTAGTTACATAACGGATTGTGAAAATCTAGCATTCTAGGTTACCTGAAAGTGAAATCTGCCTCTGCAGGCTCTGGATTCGGTGTTTGTTGTGAGTTTTTAAGACGGCAACTTGCCCCAACTTTCTCATCTTACTCTTACCAGCTTACTGTCTTAGACCGAAAATTTCTGTCTCTTTTAGTTTTATTTTGTTCGTTAGCCTCTGCTCGGATTTGGGCACACTGCATAGTACATTAGCTGCATTACTAATAACTATACTAGCTGGCCTGGCTGTTTACTATTATTAAAACATTTCAAAAACCACTGTACAAAACTCAATTGAGTTCACTCGAAATCGATCTAGAGTAGCGGCTCCGGTGTGCGGCCGTCCAGTGGGAATTGCCGATTTTATTTTTTATGCAATTACTCACAGAATGCTTCAATACCGTCAATGGAGAGCTCATATATTTAGTTATTAAATAGAAGGCACAAATAACGTAACTGAACCACAGCGTGGTCAGTAGGCCTACTGTCCACTTTAGAAGACGTAAAAGTTGCCCGGTGGGCGGCCGTGCGTAACCCGGTTTGTGGCACGCGTACGTCACAAAGCTTTATGCGCTACGTCACGATCAAAGCATATACCAAATTACTACGGGTAACCCAAATTCTCATGTTTATCTGTTGCTACGGTAAATTTTTCAAGTTTTAAACAATTTCACCTTTTTACTGAATGGATCATCCCATACGGGGGTACGTACTACTAGAAACTATCGGGTCATAGCGTTACACACATCAGCACACATACCATCATACACGATCCCGCATGTTATGTGTGTATTAACACCCCCCGCCACAAACCAGAAAATCACGTAATTACGTGCCGGTTTGGGGCCACCCCATGCAACTGGCCATGCGGTGGCACAATCAAAATATCTGCGATAGGAGACAGACCACAGCTATCATACTTCCACAAAAACATCAAATTTCACCTCCAATCGGACAAATAGAGCTACAAATACAATATTGATCTAGTCATGCCTCGATCTCTTAACTTAAAAGTAAGCACCTGCTGGAATTTTCATCGCCGACTGGTGCCGTAGATTTCCGACATCGCTGACGGATACTCCGTACCGACAGGAGCATCTGCTACGGCAGCGCAGCGCAGAACTTACCGGGGAATCCATGGTAGATTTTAATGATTATTATCGAGTCATTTTTATTTTATTTTGAAAACTGATACCCCTGGCCGCAAACCGGAGACTCTAGATCTAGATCTAGAGACGAGTCTATTTTAATTTTAAGTGAGATGTGTGTGTGTGTAGATCTAGTTGGGTTTTTACAGATGCGTACCATTTACGTCTGGGGACCACTATGACCATGGGGACCAACCTTTAACGTCACCATCCGAAAGACGTGACTCAGTTTCGAACCTGCGTCCTCGGCTGAATCAGTTTGTAACTTCCATTTTTAGCTGGATTACAGCCTACAGACGCGCACGCCACAAGGCCCTGTTAAGAGAGGAATATCATGATTTTGGTATCAGAGAGAGGGCCCCCACTTATTTGACTTATTTGACTAAGTGCAACTTAGCCCCATCTTCCCCAGGGGGGGGGGGGGGAGGGGGGGCTTTAGAAGTCCCCCCCCCCCCCTCTACATTTTTTAATGCCAAAGAATCTGGCGCTAACATTTTATGACTTTTCTCTTTCGAGTCTTGCACATCTTTTGAAATAAATTTTTCGAAAATTGTACCCACTGTTACAAAAATCATGTGACCTTTTGTCTTTGTATGTCAGCCCGAAAATCGCTCATTTGTTGTGATTTGTGTACAAAACATGGAAATCTCATTTTTCCAAAATAGAGATAAAACATTGGTTATTTGGTCTTGTTTATAGTTTAGGTGTTTATTTTGGAGTTCAAAATAGACTAGTTGAATTATAGTTAGAATTAAAATAAAACAATAAAATACATAAATTAACAAAACTAAGAAATACATTCAAAATTATCAAATCAATATAAAACATGGGCGCCGCCTTTCCGGTGACGGCGTAAACATCGACAGTTTTGATATGATTTTAAAAGTATAAGATCTTATTCAATGAAAATTGGACTATTAGGGTTATCAAGTATCCCCAATCATGTGACAAGAATTTCAGGTCACAACGTCAAGGACAAAGGTCTCTCGATATGCCTCTCGATCAGCACGTAGTACAGTGCTAGAGCCTTGGGTCAATATGCATTAGTATTGACCATCTATGCTTTGCTGGAGTTGATTCGGGTAGGGTTGGATTCTCGGAGCCAAAAGTCCAAATCAGAGGCTAACAAACGAAAGAGACAGAAATTAATTTCGGTCGATAAGTACAACTTTCTGTACTGTTGATAAAAGGTCTGATCAGCTGTATACTGTAGTAGTAGTACAGTACTTTACCCAAGTGCATACAACAAAAATGAGGTTTTATTTGGACTTGTCATCTTTAATCACAAATTTGTATAGACCCAATATCATATTGTCAAAGGTGCTGATGGAGAGACCGTCGGTGTAACAAGGCACTGGCTGTTTTTTTCTCGCACAAATTATATTATTTTTGTATGATTACGGCACCTGTCCAGGACAAGCACCAGCACACAACACATAATCTTCAGGATTGAAGGACACAGATTACTTTGAAGTTTGATTGCCCGATTGGAACAACAAATGTTAAAACCATAATGTTTTTGTTTTTTGATTACCGGTATTCACAAATTGGATACCCATAGAAAACACTTGAATTGTGGTTTACCGGTAATTAATTGAGGGAAAGGTATAAATCTGAACATATGCACTTCAATTACTTACTCCTTGCATGGTGCATGATGGTAAAATACAAAAATTTGCAGTAGTGTGTGCTTCTTAAAAATAACAGCTTGCATGTGAAATGTGCAAGCGGTTGTTTTTAGGGAGTACATGTAGGTGTGCTAAAGTGGGACTTTTCAAAACACAAGTGCTTTGACTTGTATAACATGCAGTCATGCACATATGCAAAATTCAGTGGCATGACCTGGCCCTGGGCGACTGAAAGCTAAGTAAGGAGGCACAATTCATCTTTGAGATCATTATATGAACATTTTGAAGAAAAAAAACAGATACTGGTAATAGAATTCAATGTTTATTTCGGAAATAGTCATTATGATTTGAAAAGGTTTTTGATTAAAAAAATTAAATCAGTTTACTTTAAACTATACATTGGTTTTAATATGTACTGGTGAATAAATTCGATTTGATTCAATAGGGTTTCCTTGCTTTTATGTGTACAGATTGTGTTGTAATTTATAACTTGATGATTGAAAGGTAATCATTGGTCTTTTTCTTTTTTCATTCTTCTGCAGATACAGTATAAAGCCAAGCAAGGTGTGGAGAGCGATTTTGCTTAGTTGAAGCCAGTTGAAGTGAAGATTTGTTTATGTTAAGTTAATTACCAAATGGATTTCATACCTTATCATGATAACCTATTAGTTTGTTAACCCGTTCAAGACATATTGACCATTTAGAGAAGATATTTTGCTTAATTAAAAAAATGCTTTTAACCCTTATAAGTTGGGGTGGGGGGGGGGGCATGAATATCCCCCTCCCCTCAATTAAGTTTGCGAATTCAATGTTTAATTCTGAATTGGTCATTAATGTAATTCTGATTTGAAAAGGTTTTTGATGTAGAAAATTGAAATCAGTTAAAACTTTACATCAGTTTTACTATGCATTGGTGGAATATATTCAATTCAATAGGGTTTCCTTGCTTTTAGTTTTACTGTATGTGTAAAGATTGTGTTGTAATTTATTACTCGATGATTGAAAGAATCATTTGTCTTTTTCTTTTTTCATGGATATCATACCTTATCATGATAACCTATCAGTTTGTTAACCTGTTAAAGACATGTTGACCATTTAGAGAAGATATTTTGCTTAATTAAAAAAGTGCTTTTAACCCTTATAAGTAGGGGTTGGGGGGGGGGGCGGCATGAATATCTCCCTCCTCTCAATTAAGTTCGCGATTATTTTGCATCCGCCTTAACCCTAATAAGGCCGGGGGGGGCATTATGGCCCCCCCCCCCCCTCCAGAATTTTTCTGATTATTCGGGAACGCATATGGATGGCGCCCCGCCACTCGCTGACTTTTTTCTTTCGAGTCTTGCGCATCTTTTGAAATAAAAATTTTGAAAATTTTTGAAAATCGGACTTACCGTTGCAAAGTCACGTGACCTTTTGTCTTTGCATGTCAGCCCGAAAATCGCTCATTTTCGTGATTTGTGTACAAAACATGGAAATCTCATTTTTCCAAAAAATAGATAAAACATTGGTTATTTGGTCTTGTTTATAGTTTGGGTGTTCATTTTGGGGTTCAAAATAGTTGAATTATAGTGAGAATTAAAATAAAACAACAAAAACAATAAAATACATAAATAAAAAAACAAAGAAATACATAAGAAATTATCAAATCAAAATTATAGATAACATTAGGAATATTATTCCAAATGGTCTAAAGAATATATGTAGTGAAAACTAATGTTTAAATATGAATAATATATGATTTATGGGTAAAAATGTGAATTGTATGACCTTATTTGCATAAATTACCATAAATATGGAAATGAATGAATTTTTCAAAAAATTAAATTTACCATAGTAGGCCTATTCTATACACTTCACTTGACATGCGTGCAAATTTTCGCGGCGATCGGCCAAGATCTTGCGGGGGGGCCATAATGGAATAATGGCCCCCCAGCCGTATTAAGACCTCAAATAGCCTGGCCTTATTAGGGTTAAGTTGCGTCATGCCGATCGGTGACTTTTTTCTTTCAAGCGCACCTTTTGACACCATTATTATAAAGAAATCAGATGTACCGTAATTTACATGATGTTAAAAGTTCAAAATAGATATACAAAATAATATTGTTAAAGGTCGATGAAAAAACTCCTAAATTTTCATGTGAAATGCTACTTATTATATTCCTACTACTGTACCAACCCTCTAAAATGCAAAATATTCCTGAACAAATTATCAAACACAACTTTATTTATGGTTTTTTTCAAGGTGCAATGTGTAACCCCCTCTAACAGTAAATTCTCCCAACTGTTCTTGTATATATGACGTAAAACATACTTTTTAAAATCTTCCACCACTCAAATGTTTGGATGGATTAGTTTAAAAGGAAAGTAACAAGAGTTCAAAACCTTGTTTAGTGTTTTTCTTGTTGATGTAAGTGTCAATTGATCGAAATTTTACTACACTTGTGTGTCATATTATCTTTTTAAAGTCATTGTTAGGACATAATGTACATTAGTAGTATTTTATATTTGTTTTATGTATATCTTGTTTCTATTTTGTTTCTGCAGATCGTTGAAGTTGGTTGAAGCAGAGGTGTGAGTGATAGCCAGCAAGAACACAAATAAACAGCAAGGTATTTGTACAGTACATGACCTGGCACTCCAATCTGATTTTTGGTGCAGTACCTTTAAATTAAAGTGTTGGGGCCCCCAAAACTTAATGGCAAATTTCACCTGAAATGTAGGATAATGTTAAAGAGACTGCCATTTAACAGAGAAGTATGTTTGAACATGAAAATTAATGAAAGAATACAATATGTGTGTTCTTAGCATACAACATAAAACCCAATTTTGTATTGTTTCAATAGTATTCACCTTCAAACACATGTTCTTTTTAAATCCTTGCAGAAGTGTGGTTAAATGACATTGTTTCTCACAACCTCATAGAATCTAAGTGAAATTTTGCTATATCAATTTGGGCATATTTTTGGTTCCAAACAATTTAGAGGGGCTTTAACATTTTAGGGACAGAAAATTGTTTTGAGACATTATCTCTAAATGACAGTGAGTACATGACATTTATGTAATATGGGGTTTGAACATTGAACTTATACATGTATATTTTTTGGGGTGCAATTTATAACGTACAAAACTACAAAAGCTACAATACATAGTAGCTGAACGACCAATATGCTCCCCGAAATTGCATCCGGGTGTTTAGTGTCCCTGATTCTCCTCAAGAAAGCACCACTACAACAATCTGCAAGATTGCGCATCACTTTAAAACCGGAAGATATCGACCGATGTCACTGCATTCGATGACGGAAACCACCTCCCCATCCAAGATCACGGCCAAAACCAGCGGCCATCATCGTGAAGCTGACATCATATCAACATCGACAGCGGCTGATCGTCGAATTTGCAAAGGAACGGAATAACCTGCGAGTATCTGACTGATGCCAATCGTACTCTCTTCCATGATGCTTTCATCGCAAGCAAGAAATAGAACAGTGAGATACAGGCAGCATGGTCGATGGACTGACGGATCATCGTCTCTGTGAAGACATCACACGGTAAGAGCGTGAAGAAACAGGTTCATGACAAGAACGAACTAGACAACATATGAACACAAACATTGAAATTGAAGGATCATGATTTCCTTCGGTCCTGCATTTTGTATACTTTTGGTACAGTAATATATTCACTAGACATATTTTTGTATTTTGTATTTATTTGGTTTAAAAACATGAACACGTAAAGTTCAGGAAGTGGAACTCATATTGGTTAAATTAAATAAAATTGAATACTGTAAACAAAATTGAACCAAAATATATACACTTAAGAAAAATTCTGGTTACAATACAATATTCAACGAGTGAAGCCAGGCTGGCTACATGTAACAAGACCAACGTGAGGGATGATGAGGAAATTGAGAAGAAGAGAAATGTTGAGGGAGAGGGTGGACAGAAAAAGGGAGCGGAGAAGGAAAGAAAGAGACGGAAGGGAGAGAGAGAGAAGGAAGAGTGCAAGAGAGCAGGGAGGTGAGACATAGAGGAGTGGGCACTCTGCCCCTAGGGCTTTTCCTACCACTCAGAGTGGGATTATGCGGGATTAGGGGTCCAAGGAAAAACAAAATGACACCTTACGCGACGAGGTCACCCTGATGTTGTGAACTGATAGTCTAGGAATTCAGCTCTCGATGGGTGCAAAGAACAACAACAAGGTGAGTTTAGACATGATTTATTATTGTTGAATTTTTTATTTTTTTCCGTTCCATTTATATTTATATTTCAACGTAATAGTAGTGGTAGACCCAGGTGGAAATCATTTTTTTAGGCAGACAAATTAGATTTTCTTCTTTATTTTGATGTATGACTCCACCGTTTGTTCTCGTTCGTTATATTGCACTGCACGGAAGACTAACAGTATGCTCGCGGTGGTAGAATCCTACTTGACATGTTGGTCCATTACATGAAATGAGATCAATCGTTGATATGCATACAGAAGATAGGCTTTCCTCTTTAGATTCTAGGATCAAACCTTCTTCAATATGTCTGTAAGAAGATCCATATCATCTTCCAAATAATCGTCACGCGAGTATTTAAAAGCTGCCATGTCATGGGATGTAAACATATCCTACAATGCATCGCACATGCAAGCGGCTCCTGTTGATCAACCGACCTTGCACATGCGATATGTGATCTTATTTACGAGGCACCATTAATCCAATTTAGTGGATTGGTCGCTTGGGGAGTGCGGCATCGGGGATGGTTCAAAAGACCCTAAACCAGTTTTCTCTACTCTATGTCTCACCTCCTTGTGGAGAGAAAAGAAGAGCGATGAAAGATAGAAAGGGGGAGAGAGAGAGGGGTACGGATCGAGAGAGAAAGAAAAGATAGGGTCTTTTTACATTTTATCTATTAAAGTTCTTCTATACATTTTGTACATACATGCAGTTGTTTCATTTTTACTACTTTGTTTTAAGTGTAAAATTCATATTCCTTTGATCATTTTTTTTGCATTTTTTTCTTCTTCAAATGTCGTGTCATGCTTGATTTGTATGTCTCACGTCCCTGATTTGTTCAATATCTCAGTGAAAAACATGTATATGCATCAACCTTGACAGAATTTTTGTCACTATCAGGTCCCCAAATTACTAATAACTTCACTCAGTCACATTATACACCAGATAAATTTAATACGTTTGTATCACAGAAATTACCTGATACCGGTAATGATGTCAATAACAAATTATCATTTATTGATATTAATTGTAGAAGACTCCAACATAATGTTGATGCATTGTCTGTACCTATGATGTCATTACGTATGCAAGTTTCAATTATTGGTGTTTTGACAACATGGCTAAGGGATGAAAATTCGCAATATTCTCTGTGTAACTTCGATCATTACGACTTTGTGGGAAATAATAAAAGACGTGGAAGTGGAGGAGGTGTTGGTATTTTTATTCGCAAGGACATTAATTTTAAACGCTGCTCTGAATTGGAAATTAATGAACAATTTTTAGAAAGTATTTTTATTGAAATTGAACATTTTAATTCAAATATTTTAATATGCGTTATGTACAGTATAGGCCACCCAGTCATCCAAAGGATGATTTTTTAATGTTTCGCGTTAATGTTTTAAATGTTGTTAACGTGGAAAAGAAATTATTTTATTTAATGGGCAATTTTAATATTGATTTATTAAATGTGGGAATGTTAAATATTTTTTTAACCACTTTATTGCTACATTCTATGAATCTTTTAATAAACGAATCACCTAATGTTACAGATCTTCATTGTTATTAAATAATATTTTTACAAATGATTCTTGCCATATTTATTCTGGAATATTATTAACTGATCTTTCTGACCATTTCACGGTATATTGTATTTGTGATATTGATATTCACAAAAGTACTGTGAAACTGACTTTTATAGACGTGATTTAAACAAAAATAATATGAGAACGTTTTTGCACTTGAGGTATTCAACTAAATGGTATTTATCTACTGATGTGAATAGTAGTTATGATAGCTTTGTTTTTAAATTCACAAAACTGTATAATTTGTGTTTCCGTGTGAAATTACTTTGTTTGAAATATAAGCGTAAAAATAAACCTTGGATTACAAATAAAATTATGAAGTTGAGTAAGAAAAAATGTACACTACATTGTATATGAATTGTATATTAACAATCCCAATGATTATAGAAATGAAGTATAATGGGAAATTCGTAATAAATTGAATAATAAGACTAAGATTGAAAAATAAGAAATACATCATTCAACGAGTGAAGCCAGGCTGGCTACATGTAGCAAGACCAAAGCGAGAGGTGATGAGGAAATTGAGAAGGAGAGAAATGACGAGGGAGAGAGAGAGAGAAAGAGAGGAACAGAAAAAGGGAGCGGAGAAAGAAAGAGAAGGGAAGATACGGAGGGAGAGGAAGAGAAAAAGAAAGAGATAAGGAAGAGTGAGCGAGAGAGAGGAAGAGCGATGAAGATAGAAAGAAAGAGGAGAGAGATAGGGGAAAGAGAGAAAAGAGAGGGCCCTTTTACATTTTATACATAGTTTTGTTTTTACTACTTTGTTTTGTTTTTAAGTGTAGAATTTATATTCCTCTGATCTTGGAAGGAAACAAAATTATCTTCAAATGTCGATGTGTTCAATGTCTCAATGAAAAACATGTATCTGTATCAACTTTGAGAGAATTTTTGTAACCAACAGATCCTCAAGGTATTAATAACTTCACTCAGTCACATTATACACCAGATGGATTCAATACGTTTGTATCACAGAAATTACTTGATGTCGGTAACAAATTATCATTTATTAATATTGATTGTAGAAGTCTCCAACATAATCTTGATGCATTATCTGTAGTTATGATGTCATTACATATGCAAGTTTCAATTATTGGTGTTTCGGAAACGTGGCTAAGGGATGAAAATTTGCAATATTCTTTGTGCAATTTCGATCATTATGAATTTGTGAGAAATAATAAAAGACTTGGACGTGGATGAGGTGTTTTTTTATTTTTATTGAAATTGTTCATTTAATCCAAATATTTTAATATGTGTAATGTATAGGCCACCCAGTCATCCAAAGAATGATTTGTTAATGTCTCTCGTTAATGTTTTTAATGTTTTAAATGTGGAAAAGAAATTATTCTATTTAATGGGAGATTTTAATATTGATTTATTAAATGTTGGGAATATTAATGATTTTGTAAACATTTTAATGCTACATTCTATGATTCTTTTAATAAATGATCCAACTCTTGTTACTGACAGATCTCCATTGTTATTAGATAATAATTTTACCAATGATTCTTGCCATATTTATTTTGGAATATTAATAACTGACATTTCTGACCACTTCTCTGTATATTGTATTTGTGAAATTGATATTCACAAAAGTACTGTGAAACTGACTTTTATAGACGTGATTTAAACAAAAATATTATATGAGAACGTTTTTGCACTTGAGGTATTCAACTCAATGGTATTTATCTAGGGATGTGAATAGTAGTTATGATAGCTTTGTTTTTAAATTCACAAAACTGTATAATTTGTGTTTCCGTGTGAAATTAGTTTGTTTGAAATATAAGCATAAAAATAAACCTTGGATTACAAATAAATTATAAAGTTCAGTAAGAAAAAATGTAGACTATATAAGTTGTATATTAAAGATCCCAATGATTATAGAAAAGAAGTATATAGGAAAATTTGTACTGAATTGAATAATAAGATTAAGATTGAAAGAGGTATCATTGGTATACGATCTGATTAGATTTCGGAGTATGTAAATCATTGGAAATGAAACATGATAGATTTGATGAGTTTGAGTTGTACATGATCAAGACAGTTATGTGAATAGTGGGTAATTAGTTAACATTATAAACCACAATGTGATCGTGTGGGTATTAATCACTTTTAGTGATAGTTATTTCTTTCTTAATTTTTTGTTTTTGTTTTTTGTTGTTTTTCTTCTTTTCAATGTAGGACGAGTGTTGGATTGTTCTGTGTTGGAGTTACTGGAAGGAGGTAGTGGTGTTTAAGTAAGTATAAGGGGACAGCCTATGGTCATATGGTAGTCACTTTTCAAAAAGGATTAATTATGTTATGCCATGTAGTGGCATTGATTTAATCTGACTTATGTTTTGACTTTAAGGTCAGTTGAGCTGATTCTATAGGAAGGCACAAAATGAACAATTGTCAAAGCAAATACTATGATAATGATTGCACATGCAGCAATTTAAAAAAAAATGAGATTACATTGTGAAATGAGCCTACAATGAGATCAAATAAATCTGTTGGCATATAGGGTGAAAAAGTTTTAAACCATGGGATTGTTTAAGGCCAAAATTTGGATGATAGTCATGCATTGCAAACCTCCATGTTGTGTTGAGATCATGGGTCAATTATGTATTTCAAAGTTTAAATTAGGTCAAATGTTATGGCATACCTGCAAGACTAAAGAATAAAAAAACATTTTACACATTGAAAAACCTTATTTGTCAAACCTGTATTGCACATTCTGTGTATACCTCTGTCCGAATAGGGGAAAGTGGTTAGACTTTTGTGACAATTAATCTTGTATATAGCTTTCATATCCTGTCCAAAATGATTTTTACTATAAGGATTACTTGGTATTCTGCTATTAGCCATAATGGCTGGAATTCACAAAGGGGGTTTAGATTTAGACCACGGTTTATGCTTTTTATGGCTATATTACATTGCGCTGTTTACATTTTTAATGTGCAATAGTACCTGTGTTTTCAAGATCTTCACACTTGGTACAAAAATAAGGAAGAATATTTTTTGGTGTTATTTATCAAGGTTATGTTTACATAGACATTTTCTGCTTGACAAGTCAAATAATTATATTGAGGGCTACGGCAATACTGTGGTTCATGGGAAGAAGGAGGTATACCAGTAGACTGCACACAGTTGAATTAAATGAAACATGTCTCAGCCATCATATTAAGCCCATCAATTGTAGACTCTTCCATTGGGTGTTACCAAAATTTGAATAGAATCCATCAAACATGTAAGGAGTTGGTCAAGATGAAAAAAAAGGGGGGGGGTGGGGGTGTTAAACATATAGTGCAAACATGCACAAATATCTTGATTAAAGGTAAAGACCAGTTATGGTCATGCGATTGCATTGTGAAAGAAACGTGGAATCGATCAGAAAAGGTTGATCATCTAGCATCTGGCATCTGCAAGGTTCTGGAATCATCAAAATGATAAGAAATTTGGCCCATTCTTCGTAAAGTTACAAGCACTATACACAGAAAGATGTATATGGGACTACCCTATATCTCTCACAGTCCATGAGAGAAACAAATTTACCAAATATATGAATTAGTAGGCGGTTTCCCGGCAAATTTTTTATCATTATGTATTAGTCAAAACATATTCTTTCACATGATTGATAATGAGAGCTTCCATTTCATTTTTTTTGAAATTGGGGCGTTTCCAATACTGGTCTTTACCTTTAAAGTCTAATACAATACATATTGTACATGTGACCTTGGATAAGTCAAAACTTGCTAAAGTCGAAGGTCTACACAGAACCCAACCTGTTTTGTCCTATTGTTTTATGACCCACAGTCTCTCAGAAAGCTATTTTATGGATCCCAAGAGATTTGAGTTACTGTATGTAAGGTTGATTATGTATTCAATTTTCTGTCTCTGTTCTTTTGGCAGGTACTGGTTGCTTTGGAAGGCAATTGTGTTTGTGTTGTTATTTGTCAAATCATCTTCATTTTTCAAAACATAACATACCATACCATTCCATCTTCACCCTCGGAACTCGTTATCTTGAGTTTTTGAGAAAAGCAGTACTCATTCAGAAGTTCATTTGAAGTTTCATCCAGAATCCCATTCCCATTCTATCATATTCAAAACATTGCATACCATACCATTCCATCTTCACCCTCGGAACTCGTTATCTTGAGTTTTTGAGAAAAGTAGTACTCATTCAGAAGTTCATTTGAAATTTCATCCAGAATCCCATCCTAAAGTCTGTTTATTGGCAACTCACGACAATAAGCCTCTAGCACTCATAAGCTAGTCGGTGAGTCAAAGAAGAGTTGTGGTAGACAGCAAGAGAAAGTCTGTTTATTGGCAACTCACGACAATAAGCCTCTAGCACTCATACATAAGCTAGTCGGTGAGTCAAAGAAGAGTTGTGATAGATAGCAAGAGAAAGTCTGTTTATTGGCAACTCATGACAATAAGCCACTAGCACTTAAGAAGCTAGTTGGTGAGTTAAAGAAGAGTTGTGATAGATAGCAAGAATCACATTGAACCACAATTATTCTATTGAAACCTGAGAAACCTTGAATCAAGAGCTATTCTTATCACAGAAGTGATTCTTATAACTTTTTTTCTGAATCTATTCTAAGCTGTCTGAACTTTTCTAATTACAGAAGTAATTCCTACAAGACAGAGGTCTTGATCTTTTGCTACAGAAGTAGCCCTACTTTCTTGTGATACTTTATTTCTGAATCTACTCTGTCTTACTGAACTTCACAAATCTTCTCCTATTTTACAAGCTTTCTAAATATATTCTTTATCACAGAAGTGATTCCTACAAGATTTCTGAATCTATTTTATTCTAAGCTGTCTGAACTTTTCTAACCTAGTCCTATTACTGAAAAAAGTGAGCTTGATTGAGTGTAAAGTGACTAAAGCAGAATTGATTGAAGAGAGTTTGGAGCTGAATATATAGAAATAAAAGTAAGATTGATTGATCGTAAAGTGCGTAAGCTGAATTGATTGCAGAGAGAACAGAGTTTGGAGAAATACAGAAATATATGTGAGATTAATTTAATTACAAAGACAAGAGTTGTAAAAATATAAGTGAGCCTAATTGATTGCAGAGAGTATTAAAGACAAAAGCTTTGGTCAGGATATTCCGAGATTGAGACATACAAGTGAGGTTGATTGCAGAGAAAGAAGTTTTGGTCAGGATATTTAGAGATTGAGACATACAAGTGAGGTTGATTGCAGTGAAAGAAATTTTAGTCAGGATATTTAGAGATTGAGACGTACAAGTGAGGTTGATTGCAGAGAAAGAAGTTTTAGTCAGGATATTTAGAGATTGAGACATACAAGTGAGGTCGATCTATTGCAGAGAAAGAAGTTTTGGTCAGGATATTTAGAGATTGAGACATACAAGTGAGATTGATTGCAGAGAAAGAAGTTCCGGTCAGGATATTTAGAGATTGAGACATACAAGTGAGGTTGATTTTTCTTTATTATGGAATTTGAAGGTGATCAATTCAAGGAAGTGATAAAAGAGATTGTAGATATGCTATGGAGTTGTGCATCAGTTCTCGATCCGCAGAATGAAGAATGTTGCGTCTGTAGGAATACAATTGAAGAAAGTGAAAACAAAGCTACTTGTGAGAGCTGCAATGAATATTATCATGTGACGTGTATGGGTTTTTTGTGCCAAGATCGAGTGAATGAGCGGAGATTAATCTGGATTTGTTCATCTTGTGGAAATAACAACATTGCGCATCGACTGTTTGATAAAGTATGTATCCCCTCTCATTTGAATAGATACCAGCCTCTTGAGACAGTAGATGAAGAATTTGATGATCATGTGCCTCTCTTACCCAAGCAAGCTGGCACACAAAAGAAATCCAGATCAAAGAAAAGGTATTTTAAGAAATGCAAGAAAATCAATATAGAGCCAGGAAATCAAAGTGTAAAAGAAATAAAATCAAATGAGTTTGACACACATGAACATGATCCTGGAGTCACTCGAAGAGATTCCCCCAAACAACGTGATAAATTGCATAGTGAAGAAGTAGATAGTAATGAATGGATGAAGGTGAAAACAAAGAAGGCAAGGATGTTGGAAAAGATGCAAGAAAGAATATCGCAATTAACAGCAAAAAGTGACAGTGGAACAGGTCAGAAAAAGAGAACCATAAATGGTGTTGTTCTAGAACCTGGTGTAACGTACATTGGCAAAGCAATGAAATCTTTCTATGAAAGACGGAAAAGTAGAAAATCAAAACGCAAAGTAGACATCAAACTAAACAGAGATGTAGAATGTCAGAAAGTAAAGGATGATAGTGTTCAACTGTACACAGAAACATTGCTAGATGAATATGCAAAGTGTGTGCAATCACCACAGTCGATGATGTACCATGAAACACACCTCTACACACAAAAAAACAAGGAGAAACAATCTTGGGCTGATATAGTAGGCCATGTACAAAATGAAACAACACAGACAAAATCTTTTGTTGGCAGTGTGACATATAGTCATGTTTCTTTGAAACAATCCAAGAGCAAAGAACAGAGCACATTCCGAGTATGTGGTGGTGCAAAACACTCACAAAAAACTGAAGAAGGAAACAAGAAAGTCCGTGTTCTAAAGGGCAACAAAACATCTTGTGGAAAGTCAGTTGATTCTGAAGTATTGAAAATGGAAGTATCGAACGATAAAGGAAAAGCATGTGACGGAAAGACTGAAAGCGTGGGTGAAGTAAAGGTAGATAAATGCAATAGTACTGCTGTAATCAAGGATAAATTGTGTGGCAGTGATAAAGACATGACAGAAATACAGTCCAAAGCAGCAGAAAATGGTCAGGAAATTAATACTTTTGAGGTTGGTAACCAAGTCACTTACAAAACAAGCAGTAAGCATGATGATGAATGTGCAAATGATCAATTTGTCAAGTCACAAAAGTCTATTCTTAAGAAAATGTTTGGAATGGAACATGATAGTAAATTCCATAAACAGTCAGTCAACACCTCTAATGTAAATTTAGAAGAGAAGCAAATCCCAAATGAAAACATATCAAATATGGAACAAAATACACTTGTGAAATGTGTTGCCCTGGGCAATTTTCATCAAGGAAATGCTAGATTTGGATTTTATTCTGGAAAGCAATGTGTGTCTAACAGTTTTGCTGCTATTTTATACAGTAAAATTACAGATGTTACCCAATGGCAAAAACAAGATCTTGACAAGGTATTGAATTATGGTAATGAGTTGTATAAATTTATTCAGCTTAGTTCTGGAATAAATGATAATTTCTTATTGATATCTGAGTTACCTGATCAATTAGAAGCTTTTGATGTCCATTATAAAATGCAATGTTCTCAGAGTGTTATGGGTACAATTTGTGGAAATGAATCTTTTTTGATTAATTTTAATGCAGTAACATTGAAAGATGCTCTCCATCAGGAATTAGATAGACATGATGCATGCTTTTGTACATTTAGTGGCCAAACATTTGCAATCATATCCACACAAAAACAATATTTCATTTTTGATTCACATTCTAGAGACAGGCATGGACTTATGACAGATGATGGAACCAGTGTCGTTCTATGTACATCAAACTGGAAAGGTGTGTACGATCATATCTTGAAATTAGCTGAATCTATGGGTATCAATAAAAACCAGACTGAATTTGAACTTACAGGTATAATTGTGAATCTTATCAATTCAAGCGAGATTACTGTGAGAGAACATGGTGATAATGGTCATGTGGGACAAGATGAACAGGACTATATGAATGTAGTTGAAAGTAATGATGGATTTTTCTTGCCAACAGATAGAACTGACAAAAGTAATAAATGTGTTTCAACAGATATGTCTGATTGTATTGAAATAGATGATGATGAGGATGACTGCATAATAATTGATGCAGAGCATGATACAAATTATTGCAAAGATTTCCCTAGTGGTGCTCCCTCAGATAGGCCTGATTATATCAATATAGATGATGATGATGACTGCATAATAATTGATGCAGAGCATGATACACATTATTGCACCGATTTCCCTAGTGGTGCTCCCTCAGATAGGCCTGATTCTATCAATATAGATGATGTTGATGATGATGACTGCATAATAATTGATGCAGAGCATGATACACATTATTGCAACGATTTCCCTTGTGGTGCTCCCTCAGATAGGCCTGATTCTATCAATATAGATGATGTTGATGATGATGACTGCATGGTAATTGATACAGAGTACATTACAAATAACTACAAATATTTCCCAGTCCATTCAAGTGAAAAGAAAAAAGTGTGTGCTAAATTTAATATTACAGATACTTGTATCAGTTCCAAATCAGATACCGATATGTGCATTAATATTGGTACTCCTGCTATTATTACTAATATTACTGGCGATGGAAATTGTTTTTACAGGTCAATCTCTCTTTGTCTGACGGGGAAGGAAGCTAATCACAACATTCTGAGGCAGACATGTATCCAACATTTGCTGCAAAACTCACATATATTTGCTGGTTGTTTAAGGTATGAATTTTCATCAGTTAAGGACTATGTCAGTAGAAATAAACCACAAATCAATGGTGAATGGGCCACAGAGGTAGAGATTGCTGTGATGGCACATCTGCTTGAAACAGATATATTAATTTACAGTGATACACATCTGAAGTGGAGACTGTATTCATGGGATAACCCTGGACGAATTGTACATGAATCAAATATGAGGGGCATTTATCTATTACATGTTAAAGGTGTACATTTCGATTATGTTGAATCTGTCGAATGTATTGCTCCAAGTATTGACAAAGGAAAAAAAACAAAGGAAAATGAACCATGTTTAATTCATGAAAAGAAAAGAATGGGTGAAACTAAGGGAGTTACATGTACTGAAAAAAGATCTTTTCATAGTGATATGCTTGAAGACAATGAAAGTGAAAGTGATACAATAATAATTGAAGATATTAAATATTCCAATTCATCAGGCTTGAAAAATGGTGTAACTGATGTTATAAATGAAGAAAACATGTTCATTGGAAATGACCATTTAAAGATACTGAATGAAAAAATTGCATTGAAAAAAGTGTCAATTAGACTGATACGATTATCTGAATCTGAATTAAAAAATATTTCATTTGAATACGGATCTTGCGCAACGAAAGATGAAATTGAAGAAACGTTTGTGCCAAGTGTAAGCGAAAAAAGTGAAGACATTTTTATTACCAAAAGAAAGAGAAAAGGTGACACAATTCATGAAAGTGTGAAGTATGCTAAATCAAAAAAGATGTCTTCTCCAAAAATGCATAAATATTGCAAAACAAAACAACCTAAACTGGAAAAAGATGAGAGGGAAAAAAATTCAGCTTCTAGAATTACTAGTTATCCATCAGGAATTGTTTATACTATGAATAGAGGTGTAACTGATGTTTTAAATGATGAAAAAATTGCATTGAAAAAAGTGTCAATTAGACTGATACGATTATCTGAATCTGAATTAAAAAATATTTCATTTGAATACGGATCTTGCGCAACGAAAGATGAAATTGAAGAAACATTTGTGCCAAGTGTAAGCGGAAAAAGTGAAGAAATTTTTATTTCCAAAAGAAAGAGAAAAGGTGACACAATTCATGAAAGTGTGAAGTGTGCTAAATCAAAAAAGATTTCTTCTCCAAAAATGCATAGATATTGCAAAACAAAACAGCCCAAAATGGAAAAAGATGAGAGGGAAAAAAAATCAGCTTCTAGAATTACTAGTTATCCATCAGGAATTGTTCATACTATGAATAGAGGTGTAACTGATGTTTTAAATGATGAACAAATTGTATTGAAAAAAGTGACAATTAGACTTATACGATTATCTGAATCTGAATTAAAGAATCTTTCATTTGATCTTTTGAAAGATATAAAGAAAACACAATCCAGTGCTAACTTACAAGGTACAAATATTCCAGTAAAAGGGTCTACAATTGAATTCCCTAAAAAAAAAATGAAAAATGAAAACAAGAAAAGCAAATGTAAGCAGTCTTTAAGAAAACGACAACAATTAGCTAAAGAAAGGATGAAAGCAAAAAGGAAACAAATTAATGATAATGATGCATACGATAATGTTCAAAATAATGAGAATTACATGGATGGTTGCAAATTCAAAGGAGATTTCAGTGATGTAAAGAAGACAAAAATGAAACAAAAGTATCACTCTAACAAAAGTTTCAGAGATGAAAAGAAGAAAAAGATTGAACAGAAGTATCAGTCTGATGAATCTTTCAGAGATAAACACAAGCAAAAAATAAAGCATAAGTATCAGTCTAATATATTGTTTAGAGATGAACACAAGAAGAAAATAAATTTGAAATATCAGTCTAATACATTGTTTAAAGATGAACACAAGAAAAAAATGAAACAAAAAATAAAACATGACTATCATTCTAATAAATCCTTTAGAGATGAACACAAGAAAAAAATGAAACAAAAAATAAAACATGACTATCAGTCTAATAAATCCTTTAGAGATGAACACAAGAAAAAAATGAAACAAAAAATAAAACATGACTATCAGTCTAATAAATCCTTTAGAGATGAACACAAACAGAAAATAAAATTGAAATATGAGTCTGATACATTATTTAGAGATGAACACAAACAAAAAATAAAACATAAGTATCAGTCTAACCAGCATTATAGGCAGAGACTCGCAGAAAAAAATAAAGAACGTGCTGGACTTAAGAAAATGAGTTTCAAAAAATTAGAAAATGTACTAGGAAATTTCAGAAATGTTATTTCTCATGGACCAGAATATGTCTGTTGTGTATGTCTAAAATTGCTTTTTCAAAGTCAAGTCTTAAAATGCATTAAACAAAATTACCAAAACAAAACGTGTATGAATGAGTCCTATTTACATATTTGCAATTCACACTGTAATGAAAACTGTCAATTGGCATGCTCATCTCGTGGACATTTATGGATATGCTTTACATGCCACAGAAAATTGTTGACGAATAAATTACCAGCTGAGGCTAGTGTTAACAGTTTGCAATTGCATGAGATTCCAGATGAATTGAAGGACTTGAATAATTTAGAGCAACATTTAATTGCACGTAACATAAGTTTTTTCAAATTAATCCGTTTACCTAAGGGAGGTCAAAATGCAGTTCATGGACCAGTTGTTTGTGTGCCTTCGAATACAATGAAAACTGTAAATATGCTACCTCCACCAGAAAGAGAAGATCAATTAATCCGTGTAAAATTGAAAAGGAAAATATCTTATAAGGGCCATCATGAGTATAAATTTGTTAACAAAATAAAGGTGCTAAATGGGTTGCACTATTTGAAGAAAAACAATAAGTGGTATTCTGATATAAGTATCAATGAAAACTGGAGTAATTCGTTGTCAGGAGAAATGTGTAGTGCAGAAACAAATGACAATGACGATTCAATTCAAAACTTTGAAGAACAGGAAAATGATGACCATGAAGCAAGGTTAAATGGAATTCAACTTGATACCTGCTTGCAACCAGTTGATATTGGACAAGAAATCCTTGATCAACATTTTGATGATATTTTCTGTTGTGCTCCATGTGAAGGAAACAATCCCATAGCACTTCTTAGAGATGAAAGCAATGAACCAAAATCGTTTCCTGTATTATTTCCAAAAGGTCAACCAACTTATCATGATGTCAGAAGTGTACGAGTGACCCTTGGAAGATATTTACAAAATAGGCTAATGCACGTAGATAATCGCTTTGCTAAAAATACAGATTTTATTTTTTATGCTCAGTGCATTTATGAAATTCAGCAAGTTTTGTCCGGTGTTTCAATTGCATTGAGAAAAACATCAAGTAAAAGTGATACTGATGCACCAATCACTATCAAAGATTTAAAACAAGTTGACAAAGTTCAGGACATATTAAAATCAGATAGAGGGTTTCGCTTCCTGAAACAGATAAGAGGTTCTCCTCCATATTGGTCTGCCACACAGAAAGATTTATTAGCCATGGTGAGACAGCTTGGTATACCTACATGGTTTGGAAGTTTCTCGGCAGCAGACATGAGATGGCCTGAAGTAATAAATACTTTATTAATGGAAAGAGGTGATAAACGAAAAATCAATGACCTAGATTGGACAGATAAATGTGAACTTTTAAAGTCGAATCCAGTGACTGTTGCAAGAATGTTTGACAAAAGATTTCACACTTTTTTGAAAAATGTTATTTTGTCTGAAGCACATCCCATCGGTCATGTAATAGATTATTTTTATCGTGTTGAATTCCAACAGCGAGGATCTCCACACACACATTGTTTATTCTGGGTAAAGGATGCACCAGAGCATGGATATAGTTCAGATGAGGAAGTGGTTTCCTTTATTGATAAATACATTTCTTGCAAGATACCATCCGAACAAGAAGATCCAGAACTCCATGAAATAATCACTCATGTGCAGCAGCATAGCAAAAAGCATTCAAAATCTTGTAAAAAGAAGGGAAAAACATGTCGGTTCAATTTTCCAAGACCACCATCTGATAGAACATGTGTACTTTATCCCAAAGAGGGTAATCCCGAAGAAATTGATAGTGCAAAACAATTATTAGAATTTATCAAAAACGCTGTAAATCAGGAAAATAATTACACTAATGTCTCAGACCTTTTTAAAGATTGTAACACAACACAGACTGAATTTGAAAATGCAACTAGGTTATTAGCTAAACAAGAAATTTTGATCAAGAAAAGAGACCCCAAAGATATATGGATAAATCAGTACAATCCTTTTCTACTGAGAGCATGGAATGCAAATATGGACTTACAATTTGTTATGGATGTTTATGCATGTGTTAGATATATTGTATCATACATTTCAAAATCAGAGAGAGAAATGGGAATGCTCTTAAGCCATGCTCAATCTGAAATAAATGAGGGAAATCATGATGCAAGAAAAAGTATCAGACAGCTCGGAAATGTCTACATGCAAAATCGAGAAGTATCTGCACAGGAGAGTGTGTATCGTGTATGTTCCCTTCGATTAAAAGAGTGTTCACGAAAAGTAGAATTTATTCCGGTTGGTCCAAATCCTGTTAGAATGAGTTTACCTTTACATGTTATTCAAAGTAGACCTGACGATGATGATGATGATACGAGTCCATGGATGGCAAATAAACTTGATCGATATAAAGCTAGACCTAATGGAAGTGAATTTGACACTATGTGTCTTGCAAAATTTTGCGCATGTTACAGAATACTAACTGCATCGCAAGTGAAAGGCACTAAAACATCACCATATTTATTTGAATTGAAAAATAATTCGGGATACATTCAGAAACGAACAAGGTCTAGTGCTGCTGTCGTAAGATATCCAAGATTTTCTAAAACAGTTTCTCCAGAAAAATATTACCTCAGTATATTGCAACTTTTCCTGCCATTTAGTAATGATGAGCAGTTAAAACCACCACAGTTTCAGACATATCAGGAATTTTATGAAACAGGTAGTGTCAAACTACAGGGAGGCAATTTGGAAAGTGTAAAATCAATAGTAGACAAACATTGTAAAGAGTACGAAAGAAATTCAAGAGCCATTGAACAAGCTGAACTTTTCATGGAAAAATTTGGTCCTCCAGAAGATGCGTGGGCTCTTTTATGTCCTGAAAGTGAAAAAGAAAGACTAGAAAATCCTAAGAACAACGTTGAAATGGATGAACCAGAATGTGAATTGGACATTCCAGATTTCAAACATGAAAAAAAGAATGAAACTTCTAGTGTGGAATTTCGAAGGCATGACATTTCAAAACATGAATCAAATAGTTTGATTCGATGTTTAAACAATGAGCAAAAAGAAATCTTTTACAAAATTAGACAATGGTGCTTAGAGAAAGTGAATGGTACAGAAAGTCAACCTTTTCATGTACTTATTAGTGGTGGTGCAGGAACAGGAAAATCTTATTTAATAAAATGTATATACCACGAAGCTGTACGTATACTTGGTAAAATGATGGTTAATCCTGATGACATTTCAATCTTGAAAGTTGCACCAACTGGCATAGCTGCATTCAATATAGAAGGATCTACAATTCACAGTGCGCTCTCAGTTCCAATCACAGCCAAATTTCCTTATCAACCACTTGGTGAAGAAAAAATTAACACCCTTCGTAATAAGCTTGGACAGTTGCAAATTTTGATCATAGATGAAATTTCCATGGTAGATTCCAAATTGCTGTACTACATACACGGTCGATTAAGACAAATTAAGCAATCACGCACTGATTGTCCATTCGGTAACGTTTCGGTATTGGCAGTTGGAGATTTTTATCAATTACCACCTGTGAAAGGAAAACCCTTGTATAAGGAATCAGTAGAACAATCACTGTGGTCTGAAAATTTCAAAAAGGTAGAACTGGTTGAAATAATGAGACAAAAGGAAGATTTGGCATTTGCTCTACTCTTGAATAGATTGAGAGTTAAGGAAAAGAAAGACACTTTATCAGATGCAGATTTATCAATCCTTACCTCTCGTGAAACTGGTGAAGAATGTGAAGAAGATATGCACATCTATTCAACTAATAAACAAGTAAATGAATGGAATAACAGAATGTTGCACAGTAAATGTGAAGATATTATATGTGTTAAAGCTGAAGACAGAAATAACAGCAAGGATAATGACGAAATATGTACCCAACCATGTAAATCTAGTCAAAGTTCTTTGCCTAGCAATCTGTCAATTGCTTTGAATGCTAGAGTGATGCTTTTAAAAAATATTGATACCAATATAGGTTTGACAAATGGATGTATAGGTACAGTTGCAGAAATAGTAAAACGAAATAACGAATCCAAGCCATACTGCATCGGTGTAAAATTTGATAGCCAGAAAATTGGCATTCAATCAATCAAAATGTATGAAGAATCAATGGGTAAAAATTACACAAGAAAGCAATTTCCTCTCAAACTGGCTTATGCTTGCACGGTTCACAAAGTACAAGGCATGACTTTAAATAAAGTAGTAGTATCACTGAAAAAAATATTTGCATCTGGACATAGCTATGTAGGCCTGAGTCGTGTAACTTCTTTATCTGGACTTACCATTGAAGAGTTTCATCCAAAAGTTATATACTGTGATCCAAAGATTAAAAAACACCTTAGGGATATGAGCAATTTCTTGGAAACTTCTATAGCAGAGGAAACATATGATGATGGTTTATGCATAATGTTGCACAATATTCAAGGATTAAAACAACATTATGTAGACTTACAATGCAATCCAACATTCCTGAATTCTGATATTATTTGTTTGACTGAAACATGGCTATCGGATAAGGATGACGTTTTTGAATTATTCTTAGCTCATTTCAAATTGTATCATCAATCAAGATATAACTCTTATTCTATCACAAGTGATTCAAGGCAACAGTTCAAGGACCAGTCACATGGAGGTGTTGCAGTTTATAGCAAGAATGAATTTTCAAGCAGACTTGATATAAAGATTGATAATCTAGAGTTTATTGCTTTTCTTATAACCTCTCCTGTGTCTGTTGTCATTGCAGTTGTTTATCGCCCTCCGACATACAGAATAAAGGACTTCTGTTTGTGTTTAAATAAGTTATTAGAAGAGCTACATAAAGTGGGTACAAAATGTATTGTAATGGGCGACTTCAATGATAACTTATTGAAACAGTCATCTAGAATACAAGACTTGATGTGTAATCATGGCTATACACAACATGTAAAGCAATCAACCACTGAAGGTGATACTTTGATTGACCATGTATACAGCAAAGGTCTACCGTTGGTTGAAACACAAGTGATTCCTATTTATTATAGTTACCATGAAGCAATTAAAATAAAGCTCTTTCAAATTTGACATTTTTTATTTTTCAATCATTTCGCGAGGTGATCCTTAGCTGTTGATCTTAACTGCTCTAGACTTTATTTTGTTGAAGATTAAGATTAGGGTTGGAATTGGGTTCAAGGTTAGTTCTTTTAACTAAGTGAACATTAGATATAGTATTTGGTCTAAAGCTGTATTCAGGATTTGGTTCATGTAGACAATTTGACCACAGACTTATCATCTTTGGAGCATTTTCACTTTCTCTGATTGAAGCTTTCTCAGACCTAATCTTCATTGCATTAATAAATAAAAATTGAATCTGGATTCGATCTCCACCACAAACAGCAGCGACACTTCCGCCACAGAGATCACGTTCTGTCCCAGTAACATCTTCGTCCAGGCTGCGTTGGGTGCCCGCAGTGCCACGGCCTCCTGGGACGTCCCTACAGCTATGGACGCCTCAGAACCCATCACAACAGTCAGCAACTACTCGCCTGGTGATTCCTTTGATGTTGACACTTATCTGGTCATCTGTTACCTTATCGATAACGCTGGTTTCTACTCAACATGCAGCTTTGAGGTCACTGTCACTTCAAGTGGAGGTTAGTGATTGTCCTTTAATAATTTTAAAGATTTGTTTTGAGGCATTATGGTGAAATCTTACTTTAAAAAAACCTTGCTGGCAAGCGATTTGAAATGACCCATTATGTATAGAGTACCTAATGGTGTGACGTCATTCTAGCTAAGTAGTCAAGGTTGCTGGTTCCAAACTATTTGTGCTAAACCATGATGTGGTGGTCACACCGGCACTAAACACTGACTTTGCCCTGCTCTAGCTTGTTGTTTGAATGATTGTGGAGTGAACCTCATTGACAGGCTCTGTTTAGAACCAGTAACCTGGACGACAAATGAACATGACGTTAACACCTTACTCTATTATAGCAACTGTTTGGTTCAAATTCTTCCTGCATATAAACATGTTGCTATTGTGGCATTCGTCTGTGTTTCGTGAGCAGTTTAGAATTGTAAAAATGTAGGTAGTGAAATGATTCAAATTTGTACAAAATCTGAGGAGATGAATGTACACTGTATCTCTGGATCGAGGAAGCACCTCATATTTCTTGAAAATGGAGGCTGCATGTACATATTCCCTATCTCTGACATCATTTTCATCCGATTTCTTTGTCACAGTGGTCATCGACAGAGAGAACCCTGTCCTGACCAGCTGTCCAACCGACATCATCGCCAATGCCAGCCCTGGTACCTCGAACACGGACGTTTCATGGCTGGCTCCTGTGGCATCAGACAACTCTTACTCCGCTACCCTGACGGTCAACCGACCACCAAGCAGTTCCTTTGCTGTTGGATCTACTGAGGTCACTTACACAGCTACCACTGGGCACTTTGTCACCTGCAGCTTCGACATCATTGTCGTGTTTACCGATGGTACGTCTTATATAGGGACTCCTGTACTTGATTTTTGATGGAGTAATCCCTTTAGCAGCTCACTCAGGAAGCTATACTGGGATGGTAAGTGAGGCCCCCGGCCCCCCCACTCAGTGTTATTTAGGGTACGCATATGCTCGTACCCTTTTTTTGAAAGCACCCCCTATCTGAGGACTGCCAACATTTCCGAACCCCCCTTTCGCAGGCTTTTTGCAGGCTTTTCCTGCCTTGGAGACCCCCCTAAATCAGGAAAAATGCTCAATGTACCCCCCTAAATTCGGAATAATTTCTCAGGATTCCAAAGAGATGAGAGAAAAAAAGAAAAACACCCCCTTTTTAAAGAAATCTTCAAATACACCCCTTTTTTTACAAATCTCGGGCCGGACTTTGTTGCACGAAAAGTACCCCTTTACCGGACATTTTGGCAACACGCATGCGGTCATTCCGACCTCTGAGTGGGGGGGCCGGGGTGAGGCCAGTAGCTGCAAGGAGTGCCATGTAGTGCAGAAATGGTGTGTGGACAAAGCACTTATCAATTTACAGTAAATTGATACCTTAAACTGACTCCACGACACATGCTCCTAGAACAATTCCACCATGTCCAATGTCCTACATTAGTTGGCTTAGCGAAATAGAGAGGCACAAAAAGACGCATCTGCAAGGCAGAAGGCATGATAGGTAACATTAAGCCCAATCAAGATTATTATGCATTTTGCATTCTAGTTGCATCTTTTCTACCTCTACATTTCGCTAAGCTACCTTAACATAATTCTTAACTTCAACTCTGGACCAAAGAAACCTAACACTACACCTAACCAAAATCGCAATCGTCTTTGATTTTCATTTCGTACCTATCGTTTTGTGCAAAATAGCATGTGTGACAAACGAGCGAAGATCGTAACTAAAGTGTTGAAAATAAGCTCTTAATATTATTCTAATAAACTTTTTGATTTTCCTTAGACAGCACAGCCCCAGTCCTGTCGAACTGCCCTTCAAACCACACCATGTTCGCCTCTCAAAACGCCCAAGGCGCTGTAGTTGTTTGGTCAATACTGACTGCTCCTGGTAACTCCGATGACATCGTGTCGATCACAAGTGACTTCAGCTCCTGAACCCTGTTCCCG